ACGAGGCACATTCATGGTATAATGAGGACTACTGGATAATTGATATGATTCCTCATGATGATGAGAAAAGACTGGAGTAGCTGTACTCTTTTTCCTTCGATCAAGTTTTTTTCCACTGGGTTTTCTTGACAAGGTTTTAACGAGGCAGCACGTGGATACTCCATTTAAGATGATCTATTTGAGGGGGAGCAGTTCTGATACTACAATGCTCAGGTTTTGTCCCACCGGGTTTTCCTGAGGAAGCAATATTATGATTTCAAGATGATCAGGTTTTGTCCCACCGGGTTTTCCTGACATGCAGAAGCAACGGTACTTGATGGCCACAAGATATACTTGAAGATGTACAGATTGGGCCTTATGCAAATCAGTTAAATTATGTTTAGAAATAGTCATTCAAGGGGGAGTGTTGTGAAATATTTATAAAATAATATATGTGAATGACTATTTTGCCCTCGATGTTATTGTATTATTACAATTGTGCCATCAGAAGTTTTCCTATAAATAGGAGTTTCAGTTATAATAAAAATTGTACCTAAGAGAAACATTTTCTCTATTATCTCTCTTTTCTCTAGTTTTATAACACATAATAACTTTTATGGTGCAAGTTTTATTTATTTATTTTTTGCCATCATAATCACAAAAATTCCCCTCAAATTGTAATCATATTTGCAATTTAACCCGATTTTCATTTTCCAGCAATCCCTCGTTCTTGCTCTCCGTCTGCAATGAATTCTGGTTACCAAAACCCAACCGTGCATTTTTGTCCCTCTCGTCATCCCCTTCAAAAGATTCTCAGCACAACGCAAAAATTCCTGTTTTGGTTAGGGTTTTCATTAAAACCCCCATTTTCTCTACCGGAACGGAGGCGCTGAGAATTGTGAGAACTGTAAGAGCTCTCTCTATAGACTCTGTCCTGACCTTTCACGGCCTGCAAATGGATTTTCCGACTTCAAGCGTGTTATTCGCGGGCGGCAAATCTTCGTTCTTGGTAGCTCTGGCAGCATCCATTTCCTGTTTCCTTTTCGCGGGTGCTCTTGTTTTCCGGAGAGGGAAATCAGTGAAAAACTCTGAATCAAAAAATGGGATTCTCCGTCAGTGTGAGGAAATGACTTTGAGATTAAATGGCGGGGCGGAGGAGAGCCAGGCGGGGATGTCGATGATGGAACAGTTGGTGCCGGAGATCACGTCTTATGCTCTGACTTACTTGGATCACCAGAGCCTCTGCCGCCTCGCGATGACGAGTTCGTTCATGAGGAGAGCGGCCAATGATGACAATGCTTGGAAGGCAGTCTACCTTAAGGTTTGGTTTCGCCAAAATATTTAATTAACTATGTTTTGCTGTTCTGGGTTTGTTGGTTTTATGTGATGTGATACTTTGGGTTGCGTATTTGCACTTGATGTATGATATGATGGCTGCCTTTGTTAAATGTAGTGTTATTGGATATGTTTGTTTCCTTGTCAAGGTACATTGTTGATTTACTACATACGTTACAGACAATATTGAATGCCATATTGCACGGAATCAGTATTTGGTACTTGTGTGAAGAAAGTGGGAAGGTCTGCAAATGCCGGGTATTTCGAGGGTAGGATAGTGGGGATTAATGTGTCGTGAACTGGAAACATCTAAGATACTTGGAACTGTATTAAATGATTTATTCAAGGTTCTGGAGTGAGAACGTGTCGAGATTTGAATGGTTGCTTTCTTTTTACATCATGAGTGTGCATTAAGATATTTGAATTTGGTCAGTTAGCTGGTATATACATTGGAGTATATCATGTGCTTATACTTGTTCGTATTTTGCGGCTAAAGCAGTTGGCACATGATAACATCAGATTAAGATTGTGAAAGATTTCCCGACTTTTCTTTTGCATTCCTGAAATCCTTTTACCACTTGATTATAATTCAGATTGATGTTCAAGTAATTAATCATTTTGTCATGAATTTGAATGAGTGCGTCAAATGTTAGTGGTTCTGAAGTGTATTAATCAGTTGCCTAATTCACACAAGTAGGTGTCATTGGAGAGTGTTTGCATGATCTTTAATAGGGAAATTTTATTATTACTAACTCCAATTGATGTATTATCTGGAAAATAGTAAGTGTTCTTTTTAAGCGTTGCATGGTGGTAGTCTTCCTTATTAGGGAATGCTTTTGTAATAATAAGCATCTCAACCGTTTCCATTAGTGTTGAAACTAATTTGTTATCAATAGCATTTCGACTTTGTCCTAGTTCTAAAAGCATGCATGAATTGAGATTCTCGTCGCTCAATAAATCGGCAGCAGAGTTAGCAGGCTGGGATACTTTTATGTGCTTTATTATTTGACGACTCTCTTCCCACGGCCCACATCCCCTTAAAACCTTCATGCTGTCTTCTTTTTATCTTAGCCACAATACTTTTCAGATTTTCCAGTGCATCTTTCTCTCTCTCTCTCTCTCCATGTTAACACCTTTATGCTCTTTGTCTTTCCTTTTTAGCCATAATACTTTAATTTCTCCTTGAACCGTGTATTACATCAGAAGAATATGCCTGCATTTTCTTCATAAAAATTGTTTCTTTCAGTGCATGTTATTTTTAGTTGACCTAGACTGTTTTAAATCAGTCATTTCTTGCTTGAGACAGTAAAAGTGCTAATTTGCCTTTTATTTAATTAATTAGGACTTCACCTTGGAGCAGGAAAGTATAAGCCCACCCAATGGATGGAAGGCTTATTATGCGGCTACAAAAGCTATTGTTAACATCAATAATGAGTTTTTTAGGATTATCAGGGAAAGGTCACTTCAGGCTATGGCTCAGTTTTGGCTTAATGCAGATTATGTGAAGTGTATTCATGCAAGTGGAGATTCATTCAGTGGGTATGCTTCTTCATATCAGTGAATGGAACTATTTTGACTTATGCTGACTACTAATGAATCGTTTTATCTTATACGCGTGGAAATTTTTACTATTGCTTAATGCCCTCTTGACTTGTTCTGAATTTCTTATTACAAATTCCGATAGAATGATAAGTCGTATTAAAATTCATACTGT